TTATGTTATGGTGTCAACAAAGAGGAGTATTACTATCATCAGGTGAATGAGAACTGGGCACTGGAGAAGGTGATGCAGCGTTGCTTGGGAAGGTCTCCTCTTCAGGTTCTCCCTTCTCTAAGCGAGGCCCCTGCTTACCACCCCATTGCAATGCCTAAGTATCCCCCACTCGAAATAGGCTGGGATCGGTAAACAATCGCTTCGCCTCTTTTAAACGTCGTACGTCTGTGCGAAATCCAAAACAAAAAGCGATTGGTGCTATTTACAGCAAGAAGAACGATCTAAGGTCCTATATTGATGGACCATTTAAGGTGGTGATGTCAGATATTGGGAAGGAGATCAAACATGTTGAAAAAATCTTGAAAAGGGGTTCGTGTTACTTTGCGGTTTATTGCTTGCCCAAAAGAGCCGGTTTCAAAATTACACCCTTATGGACTCATCAAAAACCTTTTCCAGGTCTATCTTCATACTACCTTCGAATCGTTGTAGTCTATAAGATTAAAAAAAAGATAAAGATTTGACCGCTAATCAATCTTTTTGGGGATGCGACACGCAGCTCTAACCGTTGTTGTAATTGTTAGTGGCGTTTGAATGCGATGTGGCCTATACAATGGACTTGCGGGGGCCAGCCGATGTACAAGTCAGTGTTTATCCTCCCAGACAAGTCTGGTACCAATTAACCGACCCCGGAGGGATGGAAGGCTTGGTTGGCCCGGGCGACTCACGACCCAGGATTTGATCCCCGGACCGCTCGCGTGGTAAGCGTGCCACTTGCCACTACACCACTTCCGCCCTTTACAAATTTAAGGGTGGTGTCTTTTTTCTGCTTTTTCTCTCAGTTTGGTTCCGTCATCCCTAGGAGAGCAGGCGTGTGGCTGGTGTAGGGAATATTCACGAAATGTTATAAGGGGAAAAACCTTAAGCCACGTTGGGCCCGCGCTTGAGGAGACGATCTCGTCGAAAGTAGGCCATCTAATAAAGCCCAATAAAAAACCAGCATCTAGAAGAAGAACACTTAAATGCAAATTTGTTGGATTGTCTTCGGGAAAATGCATACTTTTAAGTTCTGTACTTTCAGTGACAAGTTTTTTTGAGCCTGAGAGGCAAAAACATTTTGTGATATTTATCTGTTGTTACAAACAAGAGCACAGTAAGTTTTACACTGATTGGAAGTAGCACCAATGTCAAATAGAACGGCCTGAATTGTTGAGCATGAGGTTTTGTGATTGGGGGACGGTCCATGGGTGAAGGTTGAACCCGAAAGTGGAAGTGCGTTGTAGTTCTCGGCCTAATCATATGCTTAGGAATGAGGCAATGCTTAATTATAAGCCTGAGCCTGAGCCTAAACCCAAGTTTAACCTTGGGCTTTGATGATCGTGCAGCTCTAGTGAGCTGATCGAGAATTGAACGTTCTTCCCGAGAAGTGTCCATACGAGCGCATTCCAATAGGGTTTTATGATGTTTTCAAGGGATTCACGAGGGTAACATCGTGGCTCCATTTTTCTTTCTGAACACTTCTAGGAAGGCCAATAGTGGGGAAAGAAGTTCCAAGTTCGGCCCTCCGTGATGACTAAATTTTTGCAATTCAGGTCGGCGCCTTCATATTGCCGCCAAATGACGCCAGCGACGGCGAAAATAGATTTCATCGTATAACTATGGCCACTAGCAATTTGGAGACACAACATGTAATTTGCCAAAAAATGCCACGCAGGACCGAAGTTTGGAACATCTTTCACCATTTTTGGTTTCCTATAATAGGAGCGTTCAGGGAAATGCGGACCAATTGGTTGTGTCCCTGCATGAGCTTTACCACATTGTATGAAACCTTGTCGCGAAAAAACGCCCCATGTCTTCAAATACCCCTCCCCTTGAGAGCCATTTCCACATGTAATAAGAGCAGCACCGGACTAAATAGAAGAAATACGAGAAAGCTTTAAACGAAAAAACCCGACGAAAAATTTTTACGGTCAAAAAGAAGCAGAGAAAGGGAGCAGAACGGTGTCTTCAAAGTAAGAACACATCGTTTATAAAGGGGATGGGAAGAGGAGGATTATGGCACGGTGTAGGGAAGCGGCTATGGATTCGAATGTGCATCGCGAGACCTCAGTCCGATGCGTTGATTTGTCTTGCCCGTGTTCGGAACCTCCTTACGTGAACCTATCCAGCCAGCTGCGCTCTCTGGTACCTGCTTGGCGTCACTACGCTCCAGCTCGCGAGAACGCGGGGCGTTTTACACGCGGCGCGCAAATGCACGAGCACACTCGAAGAACCATCACTGTGATGAGCAGACGTATCTGGCTCTCTAAGAGTGCAACCAGTGCAAGCAGTCTTCAAAGAGGAGAGCTAATGGGGGAAGCCGTGGAATAGCGCGAGGTGATAGAAGAAGTGTGCGCGGACGCGATTTACTATGAATACTAATTCTCTAGCAATTATGTAGATGAATCACGAAGGCATCGTTGAGAAGCGCTACTCGGGTCTATTTAGAAGTGAAAAGGACGAAACAACAGAGCGATTATGGCGTATGTTCGAGCTCGAGTGATGATGCCCCAGACCCTTTTAGGAATATACCTGGCGTGGGGAGACGGACGTAGGCACCGATCGAGATAGTTAAAGTGGACCGAGGTCTCGATCGTGTTTCCGACTCTCTAACTGAATCGATCGCATTTCTTTTCTCTCGACTCGAGGCTCCACCGTCGTCGTCTGCACGGTAAATAGTAAGAGATCGCTTAGGCACACACGGTGGCTGCTTACCTACCACCCGCTGGGAGCTGAGCACCGAGGTCTCGGCTGAGAGAGTTTGAGACCCTATGGCCGGCCGGCCGGCGTTTAGTGGGTGGGGGACGGCCAGTCGAGTCGAGAGGCGTTTGTTTGTTGCTGGCGACTGGAGAATTTCTTTGACGCGTTCAAAAAGCCGGAAAATCCAGTCCACAACAAAAACATTACACTGGGTAGAGGCCGCGATGCTCTGGTAGGCTGTTGTACGGTTTACACAGCGTTTTGAGCCGAAAGTCGCAGTGTGTACCGCAGAGGCCAGCGCCTCATGGGGCTAAATTGAGGTGACCCTAGGGCAAGAGACGTGGGGGGGGGGGGGGGGGGTCCCCAATTAAGAAGGTTTGGAGAGAAAGTCGGGCAAAGGAAAGGGATATGGGCGACATGTGGAGGGAATAACTGGAATGCAGCAGCAAAATGAGATGCACTAAGCAAGCAGAAGAAAGTAAGACGAGGCAGCAGATTTGAGTGATGAGAAAGGCATAGGCCGGCTCTCGTTATTAATTTTTCAGAGCTTAGCACCGAGACGATGGAAATTAGCTGAAAAACACCACACTTCAGCGAATAGCCAATGTCGATCCGTCGCTAGCAGTCGTCGCAATGAGCCTTGACAGCATCGAAAAAAAATTAACTTAGGAATACGAATACGAGTGGCTGGTCAGGTTTTTTGACTACCTACTGCTCTTCATGAAGGAGCACGAGCACAGGCGCAATCACAGGATACTGGGAATCGTTGTAGCGATCGCATTAGATTGCGCGATAAAATACGATATCACGCTGTCCTGCTTTTTGTTACAAAGAGGCGAGCGCGTTCAGAGTACGGCAATCGATACATGCGTAGGTACGATCAGGCGACTAGGCGATAAGTGCACGTAGTAGACCAGGCGAATAAGCGATGGAGTGAGCGATTGGACGAGTAAGCGATTAGGCGAGTGAGCGACAACAGAAGGATACGTATTGATTTGTTCTGCACCCATTGAGCGATCCCCTCCTCTTCTAACCGCCTACCCGCCTATTCGCCTAATCGTATGTACATTCGCCAACTCTGAACGCGCCAGCGCGGAGAAGCAGAGGACTCAGCGTTCATGTTCGCTTAAAGTCCCTGTCCTTTCTAAGTTCTGGCCTCAGTCCTAGAAAATGCCACCGATCTTGGGATAGCGCCTGAAATTCTGATCAAACAAGCAGTTTTTGGGTAAGTTTTTAGGGAAGTTCTTCCCATGCCTGGGTTTTTTTTAGATACAAGTGCAGCGTTGAGGGAGGCGAATCTATAGCTGTCCTTGAAAAAGAGCTGCCATTTGGAATGTATGCCATTATGTAAATAAGGGGGGGGGGGAAATCTGGTTGGTGAGGGCCATACTAATACCATCTCTTCCCTGACAAGCGAGGTCTTTCAGGCACGGAGCGTTTTCGAAAGGCTTTTTGCATGTTTGTTGGGGTCAACAAGGGACACAGAAATACATTATACGAAGAATGCCAAAACATTGGTGAAGAAATGGTCCTCGAGTTCGATCCCCGGTGATGACCAATTTTTGCAATATAGCTTGGCGGACCCGGATTGCGGCCAAATGGCTCCATCGTCGAGAATAATGTAATTGTCGTGTTTTGCGGGTATTTTGGAGGCCCCAAGATGAAATGCAAAACTTGTCATGACCGGGGAATCGGAACTTCTGGACCATTTCTTCGCCCCTGTTTTGAGACTCCTAGGGGCGTTCAGGAAAATGGACCATGGTTCTGTATTCCTCACATTAGAATCCACAAAAAATAGGGATCCATTTTGAAAAAACGCTCCATGTCCTGAAAGACCCTCGTTGTGAGCAGACCGTGGTGAACAAAATTGGAATCTGATTTCCACATGAAGGTAAAAGAAAGCTCGAGATCTTGCCCTAGGGAAAAGCGCTCCTTCAGAGCAGGAGCAATATGCCTGAGACACTCGTCGAAAACGTGCGCGCACAGCCAACGCCCCTTAGAGCTCAAAATAAAAGCTCATTTATTCCCTATTGGGCTGAAATGAGCAAATTTAGCCTACATGCCTGCCCCATCAAACGCCTTCCTCTCACCACATATATTGCCGGGTAATGAAAGCAGCATCGGACAGCTTATGCTCGATAGCTTTCCGAGGATGTTCATGTGAAGCGTTGCGTCCTGCTGAAAGCCAATTACAATACGATGGAAGATTTGCAATGAAATATTTATTTTAGATCCTAGCAATCGAGAAAAATTCCAGATGATCCTCAACGAGCAGCCATTTTGAGGGCGTAAATCCGATTGTTCTCCATATCATCACGAACCATCTTTCCGAGAGCCTGCAAAACAATAAGGTCAGTTGCCTGAGAACCGAATGCGACTCTGATTACGCTTTCAATCATTTCAAACCCGAGCAATATGTCAAACAGGCCATTTGTCGTGAATTGAGCGCGCTACACGAGCCGTGTAACAATTTTTCATGGTGTTTATGTTCCGCTGAATGGAGAGATACCTGGTTAGCGACGGTTTTCACTATCATTCCCTTGAGATCCATTGAAACCACGTATTCGTAGATGGACGAGTTCTCTGGATCTTCTGGATTTGGTGCGTACCAGCCAGCGGCGACATGAACAAATCCTCTGAAATGGAAATACGATGCATACATGGTACGAAGTTGGCCGACTCACAGTCGTAGCCCAGAACTCGGTAAAAAGGACCGTTATTAAGCCTCGCTGGTCTGGCATTCGGCCCTTGTAAATTCATTTTTGCTACTTCCACGAAGCAGTTCGTGAGGGGGGGGAGAGCTGCTTGAGGTTTGAATATAATCCGGTTCAACACAAGCGAAGGTTCAAAGTTCTACAGGCCAAACGTCGAAGAGAGTTCAGGTTGTTACATCACAAGAAAGGAAACAATGCCTAATGACCAGCGAGACCCATTGCAAATCAAAATTCGTACGAAATTAACGGGCCAAAACAGAAGTCAAAAACAAACGGCTTTTTAATTATATTAGGTTGTCTGATAAGTAGTGCCGGTTTTTTTGAGCTTTTCCGAGCATTTACTCCTAATTCCCCAAGTTTTTTACATAATGCCAAATACCATTCGGAAGAGAATTGTCTGCTCTATAATAGCTGTGTTTTCCTTCCACACTGCAAGGTTTCTTAAATTTCTATACCTGCAAGATAGGGAGGTCCAGTCGACGAAGAATAGCCAAACCGACAACTAGCCCTAACTCTATGTTCCCCTAGGAGGAATCAGCCAATGATTGACCGTCAGCTTAAAGGCAAAGTTCGGGATTTTGGCGAAATTTAGGTTTTCCCCGTCAAATATGCAGCAGTACGCAAGGGCAGACCATGTGCAGAAGTGGCGGGGCGATTTGACAAGGTTTAGGCGCTAGGAGCCTAGGTTGGAGCATTGGCGCCGCCCCAACCCCATTGAGCCCGCCCACTTTTCCATGCGACCTTCCAAACAACCACATGGAACACTAGATGTTAAGTTGTTATTTGGAAGGTCGTAGAGGAATATTTAGCGAATCGCAACTGCGAAAACCAACATCAAAGCCTATATTAAGACCATTATCGAGAACCTAGTCATTCATTCTAGTGATAATCAAATTTTTGAGATAGGAAAAAAACAAAAAAGTACAGGTAAATAGAAAAAATAGCGAAATTAGAAGGCAATCACTTTTTCATTGCTGACTTTTTGTAGCCGTGTCGGTTGCTGGCATAAAGCCAACAGTTGCTGTGGACACGTCCAGACACGTAATTCTCCCAGCCCTGGCTTCTAAGCGTCTAACGAAGAGAAATTGCTTATTTTGGACTTTTTTGGAAGTACTTCCTGCTTTTTTTCTTTAGCTTCGATTCACTTAGCACCCAGTACTTCATAGTTAGTTAAAAAAGTAAGTCCACGTTTTATCCCGGAGTTTGCCTCAACCACAACCTTCTCTAAGACACTGGCTGCTATGAAGCTTGCCAACACAGATTCGCGGTACTCAGCTTTTCCAGACTTTAGGTCTTTTTGCTCAACCAGAAATCTCCGCTACGGGTCAAAGCACCTTTTTTCTTGAAATTTTAATCTCCGAGAACATTGAAAAGTCAGTGGTCGGGTGTAAGAAAGATGTCATGGTCCAAGTGTAGAAATGTATTGCCTGGATTGGAACTGTTTTATCTACTCGGGGTAATTTTTTTGAAAGAACTGGTTGTCTCTTCATGGGAAACTGAACATTACTTATGCGCAGCCTAAAACTCGATCTGATTTCCAACGAATGTGAAATCAAAGCAAATGCGCAAATAGGGCAGGAAATGCGCTCTCGAATGATATATCACTCAGTGTGAAAGAATGGTGCTTTAGAGGAAGAATTTCAGTTCAAAAATCGCTATACCTTATGATTGACCACAAAACCGAATTTTAAAAGAAATTACGGCAAAGCTTTTCCGACATTCTAACAGCGAAATATTTCGAAGAGGTCGTTACCAAGTTGAGGGCTCATCATTGGTTAAATCCTCCTAGAGGAAGATAGAGTTGGAGCTAGTTGTCGCTTTGTCAAATTTTCTTCGGCTGGACCTCCCATTTCGCAGGTTTGAAAACCCTGCAACAAATGTGGAAGAAAAGCACAGCCGCTCATAGAGCAGACATTTCTCTCTTGAGTGGTATATGACATTGTGTGTAAAAAGTTGGGAAATTATGAGAAAATTTTCCACTTGAAAAAAACCGCACTACTTATGGGACAAAATAATACAAGTGTTGAATAGTGTCGGTGCAGCGGATCAAATAATGATTAATTCAGCGCTGATCTTACGACTATGTACGCGATAAGTACCAGAACAAACTGCGTTCGCGCCAAGCGAATTATAAATCATAAATAAAAATCAAGAATTGGTAATGTGCCTAGGACATAAGAGGTGGCCTAGCGACGTGGACCAGACCAAAAGCCTATCTCCCAAGAGAACCTCAAAATTGTTACTTCATTCGGTTGAATGACATTGCATAGAACGATCGCTTAGGTCTTGAGGTTTTTGTATCAAACCTTTCTCGAACATGCTCACAGAGTCAGTTGTGCGTTGCGCAGTTCCCAATAAGAGTGATCGCATCTGATTTTCAGAAGGTAATGTGTTCGAAGAGTTTGTTTTCAATAATTTAGGGAAAGTTTGATAGTAAGCAGGAAGTGATCAAAAATGATGGGGTTCGCCTTTTTATCCTCTCGACGGCCGCCGTGTTGGGATGGAAAGGTGAATGGATTTGGAACGTGTCAACTGTTTACGGAACCCATTCCTATAAAAAACAACCATGTTGGTGAGGATGGCGGTGGATGTGGTCGTCTGACAGGCTCCCCTAAAGGCTGGTAATGGTGATCCTACTGTTGAAGTATCAATTGCCTCCGACACTATGCTCTTTCGTGTCTTGCCTTGGTTATCACCGTCTCGTGAGTATTCATATTTAGAGCGTTTCCAGCGGTTCATTTCACTTCTTCATTAGCAACTTAATTAATTTCTGAGGTCTCATTTTGGTTATCATGCTTCTTCGCAATGCTTCTAAGAGCGCAACTTACTCAGGCTGAGGGGGAGCCTCTGTGAGGTCAACAGAGAAAAGAACGAACTTCGGAGAGAATGAGAAGAGTTACACACCCCGACGTTCCGTTCTTCTCTGAGGTTTAGGTTGGCTCTTAAGCCTAGCGAAAGCTTTCTGTAACTCAGACACAATATTAGAAGCCACAATGCGCCCTTTTAAATCAAACCATCTGTCGTTAAACTTCTGCAAGACTCGTGTATAGCATACAGAGACGACTTAGGGAAAATTTTCGATTTCTTTCGACTTCGAAATGTCTCGATTTCTCAAGCTCTTGTTGGCTTATGCTGTTTTTTGTGTAATAGAGCTATTTTCGATTTTGCTGTAAAAGTAAATGAAGCGGCTCATCGGAGCTATGGCAAGGCGTCTTTTCATCCTGAAACTTTTATTGAGTTGCACCTACAAAGTGTTCAGGAACGCTCTGTTCAGAACCGTCTCAAGGTGAAGAGATCACCTTGAGACGGTTCTGAACAGAGATTTGAGGTACCATCAGATTTGAAGGGTCATGGCGGGTGACCTCTTCTTGAACAGTTGGAAACATTTAGTTGCACGAATTGGCCAAAAGTACTATGGCCATAATAGTTCGAATCTGTCTACTGGTGTAAACCTGATCTGCAAGGATTTGGAGCCTGCAGAAGCGCTCAATCTCTATCTACTCTCGAACTCTATCTACACTCTAGGGTTGGTCTTAGAAGAGGCCGAGATTTTCACCACGACATCTGCTTGCGGGGCACGATGGAAGGCTCTCCTATGCGCTGAAGTTCCTGGATCGAAGCTACAGGGTAACTTTAGATGTGAACATTGAACCTTACTCCTTAGTAGGCAGTGAAATCATCTTCTCAATCAGGATTTGAACTCATCAGTCATCCGTCAGATCCGAAGTTTTCCCTGGATTTCCGTTATTTGCTCCCATCTTGTAGAATAACTGAGGTAGAGTCGTGGCTAATAAGGCGAGTTTGCTTCGGTAGGACTAGTACAACTGCAGCGAATTTCGAAATTTACTAACCTAATACTTCCTGAGGCTCTTGAAAAGTCACAAACTTTTGAATTATTATTTCAGAGTCCACATTTGACCGTAAACACACACCCACACACAAACGACGAGGCTCCTGGAGAGCACCAAACTGGCAAAAATTACGCTTAATTATTCACCTGACGGCATCCTTGCCCGAAGGAATCGAGTCGACGTTGCACGATCGGCCGGCAAGAACGAATCCGTCGTCGATCTTTTTCTTCATTCTCCCAACAACGAATTCGCGACTCTTCACCATGAATTTATCATTAGACGCATACTGAAATCATCATTCTTTCGATGTAGGATTCACAAAGGAATACCTGCAACTCGACCAGCTTTTGGCATTCAAAATTGCTTTTTTATGGCCACAGTTGCTGATACTTGACAGAGACTTTTTTCAAAAGGGAGGGCGATTTCGCAGCGTAGGCTGGAACAAACTATGCAGTATGCACTGGTAGCTTAGAGCTGAATTCCTTGAAAAGGTTGAAGGTCGAAGAAGGAGAAACTCAAGACGTTCCCGCGGCACCATCGACGCGGCACGCCCACTCACTGGCTAACATAGCGCATGGTCGTGTAACACAAGCTTTGTAATTGCCCTCCCCTCCGGCAGCTCGCACTAGCGTTAAAACCGCAGGTTTTGGCGCGTGAGCGCGAATCTCCAGCTCGCACAACTTTGAGCAGCAGTCGGGAGCTGACGCACAGGTAAAGAGGCTATCCTGGTTTCCCAGTGGCAGCTATCCAAAATGACAGTAGCGTCGCAGTCGTTACCGGTCAAACGTCGCTCCGGTATAGTTGGCGAGTGTTTGTCGCACATTTTCTCCTCGTTGAGAGGGATGCACGAGAAAACGAGAATTGGGTAGCGGGCAAAGCCATGCGAAATCGAAGACACAAAGTTATTGCGAGCACAGAGCTGCGCTGTGTGTCTAGGCGTGGCTGTTGTGCTGGCCTACACACCTCCTCCACACTCGAACCCTGACTGCGAAATTGTTTCGCGTGTTGCCGGTTACGGGTACGCAGGCGCCGGAAAGGAAGCATTTATATTCTACAGATCTGTATTCGCTTTAGGCAGAGAAGCGTTGAGCTCTTTGAAGAGGCGCACAACGTTAGTCGCGTCAATGACGGAAATCAGTGGCAAAACGTGGTCCCGTTTCTCGAGTTGTGAGTCGTTTTTCTGGTCTCTTCTTCATCCCGGAACCAGTTAACACCTCTGCCTCAACTCTAATGGGTTGTCGTCAGATTTTTAGACTTCCGCCTTTGAGGGCTCAGTAACACAATTATTGCTAATCACGCCGGGTTCAGTTTGTGGTTGGAAGTGCTACTGTGTTGAGGATATATCTATCCGGGGTGTTAAAGCCGGTCATTCGCCAGATCTTAATCAAGAGAGATCAGATTGACTTTTCATTAATACTGTGCGAATCACAATAAGTAGTGTGGCAACAGCTGAGAAGTACATAGAGATGGTCGCGTTAAGAATATGTGTTTTGCCTTAATAAATTTTTAATAATTCTCATGTCACGAACAACAACACCAACCAATGAACCAAAATTGCGTGCTCCTGTTTTGAACAACTGATTCTGAATGGATGACTGTCTTCAGGAAATGCCTTGTATCGATCGGAGAAGGTGGACGACGACAATTTTTAGCGTACGTCGGAAGTTCTATGAATTATTCTTTCGGTCAGGATGTCATGTGCTGACGGAACCGGCTACTCAGAAGGTATCAAAGTCGTTGCTCTGCTTTGGCACATTAGAGAGCATATAGTTTCCTATTTTTCGATTTCTGTTTTGGCTAACGTATATCCGCAACATGGGGGGTTTGCACTTTTTTGCATCAATTTCATTTCGAACAGGATACAGATTGACGCCTTGATGAGGCAGCTCTTGGTCCAAGCAAGCGACCTGCTGTGTATAGAGTTCAACAGCAACTGCTACCCCAATCACTTTCAAGTACAATCAATTCGTTACTATGTCGTGTGCAATACAAAACGATGACCGTTTGTTCTGATGCGATGCGGATCCAGGAGTCGGTCTCAGCGGTCCATCTGCCAACCACGACGTCGCTTCCACGTTGATCATGTATCCTTTTCTAATGACCTCCCACGGAGGACAAAAAACTCGTTTTTGTGGAAGTCTGGGACGCTTCTAGCGCTTCAGCGTGCACGTTGCTCGCTGTCACTAAGGAGATTTCAACGCATTCTCCACACCAAATTGCCTCACTAATTGAGCCTAAAAGCTTCCATACCTAGGGTTGATGCGGTCGGCTCGCACTCTTCCTTGCCTAACGACATTACCTCGGCCTTGAAAGCAACGAAATATTAGCTGTAATCTGCCTGGCAGGAGGCCGAGCGTTGCCGTTATGAAACTTATGAACCTTATCGATTTAATCAGCTACAACTGTTCTTGTTTTGAAGGCGGTCTCAAAATGCACACATGAAGCGAAGTTTTTAGACTCCCAGCGTGCCGCCGCAAAAACCGAAATTTTCGGTAACAGAAACTCATTGGTTTCCATGACACGTAATATGTCATACCCGTGCTAGGAGCGAAGAAATGTTCTTTCGAACAAGTAGTATTGCATTGTGAGGCATTGGCGTTTTTTTGTAGCAAACGGCAAACATTGTCACTAATGCTGATGGCATGTCTTCTCGCGCATAACATTTTAGCAGTACTATGCTTGCGAAACGATTTCGCCAAGGAATCTAGAATCAGGTGGTTCGGACACGTCATGCAATTCTGTGATAACCGTTGGACCAGAGTGGTTACTGACCGGATCCCTCGGGACATTATAAAGGAAAACACCTTGCGACTGCTGGGCCGGCGCCCGGATGGCCAGACTTTCTTTCACGGAATGCTCTTGAACGAAGGTAAGAAAAGGCTACGTGTCCCTCATGCAAGGAAGGACCCACTGAACCCTGCTTAGCCGCGACCGCACAGGGCGACGCAATGAGAGACATGGTGGCGCGCCGCGCCTCAAGTCGATTCGATGATCACGGGAAACAGTGTTGGTACGGGTGATCCATGCGGTTAAGGTTTAGGCGCTGCAGAACCAAAAGTTGTGGTAGTTGTACTTCACATTTCTTCGATCAAACGGAACCTTCCTTTTCTTTCAAGGCGAACCCCGGGATTAGCCCTACTAGAAGGAAGGATGCTGCGTGGAAACTTATAGTGTCCTTCCCTACAGAAAGCGTACCACACAATAAAAGCGCGTTTAGGCACTAATCCGTTAGGTGTGCAACCTCGAGCCACTTTTGCAACGACTTCCCACCGCCTCACCTTTGATTATGCGGAGATCGCCCTCTTGCCATGGAATGTTATCTCGCGCACGGTATTCGGTCTTTTTCTTGATCGTTTTTATCTCGCCCTCGTTTTACATTCCGAATCTTACTGGACAGTCAAGGCCTTTAATTGAGCGTTCGATGGCTCCTCTTGCTTTCATTTCCACTTTTAGTCCATTCGCAATCCATCCATCACTGTGGTGCGCTCTTATACACCAGTTCCATTCCGGGGTTTGCATTTAAAGGCAAAATTCAAGCTTAAATTGATTAGGTAATTCTACTCAAATGTGATGTAGGGGCGGGAGGGTGACCGCCATTGAGAGAAAAAGGAAGGAAAATTCCTGAAATACACAGGAAATACGAGCCTTTTGCTCTACGTTGCGGAGAAGTTCAAAAGGCCGGCAGGGAGATGAGAGATAATGTGAGCGCGGAGAGCGGTAGAGAAATCCGAGAAGAGAGAGCATAGCAGATCAGCATTGCGACGCAGACAAAATATCGAGCGGTGGGCGGAGCGTGTCGCAACAGGAGGAGCGTGTCAAAGTCCTTGGCCCCTAGCGCCTTAGTGACGCATTTGGATGCGGGAACTTGGCGAGTCGCCTGCAGCTGCGTCCCATGCACTTCTAGCCACTTTAAGGGCTTATTAGGTGGGTCTGAGCCCGAACTTTGCCTTTAAGGTAGGTTTTCGACACCACTGCGGTTTGGAAGGATGGACCTTCCGCAATACATTGGACCCGGTTATGTGGCTCAGTATATAAAAAATGACTAACGCCAAGCTCGAGCAATTGAGAAAATGAATATTTTCGCTATTCTCGAATATACACACAGACCATATGTTATGTAAAGATTGCACAACTCACATGAGCGACGTCAATATCATCGGTGAGCCGCCTCACACGTTCACCGAATTTCATATTGTCATTGTAGTCTTTGATTTTCACCAGCTCATTCCAGTGGGAATCGACGAGCACTGTAGCTGGTACAGCAACTATCGTCTGAAAGTACAGCGTTCGCACACCAGCGAAGTCAATCTTTACTGGATTCCTGGGAGGAGTAAACGCTGGCTTGCACATGATCTCAGTTCAGAACTGTGTAGCTCAAAGAGTAGATCTCTTTGAGCTACACAGTTCTCAAAGAGTCAAAGAGTAGAAAGGGATAGTGTATCCCGAAAGTGTAGCCCCCCAATTTCTGCGACTGACGAAGGTGTTACACAGCGATAGCAAAAGATTTCAAAGGTATTCCTTTTTGAACTGTTTTTTGGGAATATTTGGAATCTGAAGCTTTGTGAAGTTCTGGAAGTTTTTAAATAAAGATGTTCGTGCCTCTTTGTGCTATACAACCTAATATTTGCTTTCAGAGTAAGTACGTCTTGAGTTTTTTTTTGAATTCAGGTTGCTTTTCCCCTCATATGTGCTTAAAAGCTCCCAGACCGATGTTCTCTGCCCAGTACGATGACCGAATCTTTATCTTCTACGAAATACGCCATTAACCCTGCCCGCCAGTGAGAAGAAGGCAATAACTCCTACTTGCCGCACTCATTAAAGGAGGGTGATTCCATTCCATTCATATCGCGGAGCCACACCTCGGCGCTCACTGAAGTTTAATAGCCTCATCGGAAAAAATTTGTGTCAGTAACACCCTTAACATAGTAGGCAGTGTGAAAGACTTGACCGCCATAGTAAAAATTACGTCGGGAACAGGGTCAACCGTCACGTTGGACAAATTTCGAAAATTTTAAGACCCCCCACGGTCAACCTACCGTTGGGGACTTTTTGGAAATTTTTTCACAACACCAGTTCCCGGAGGTTACCATAAGATCCACACGTTAACAGAGCCCCCAATACGACACTATTTGATTTGAGAAAGTTGCACAGCCAACCCCAACACATTTCCCTGCGCAAATAGCGTCTAGCGGCTGGGTGGTAAATATTTATTATAACGTGGAACAGGAATTTTTCTATCGCATTCATAGCGGTAAGAGTAAATAGACCCCGCCGCGACCCCGTCATTGTGGTGTAGGGATGCGGCTTCTACCATGCGAATGGACCCCTTGTTTTCGCGATAGAGACAAAAGCGAAGGCGATTGGTTCATGAATGAATCCGTTAGTGATGGCAGTTTTGCTTTTCCGACTGATGCTTGCGCGACGTCCCGAAATGGAAACCGCAGGTATTAACCCATTCGCGACCGCGCAGGATTGCGCAATAGCAGCAGCGTCAGGAGATTTTTCTTCAATAAAATTCGAGTGGAGGGAGATTTCCTCTGCCCAGGGCTGGCGTAGATGAGCGAGGGTATGAAGATTCTTTTCATGGAAGAAAACTTTCCAAATTTCCATTTCAAGCCCTGCAGCCACAGTAATGCCATTGTCCCGAGTGAGAGCTTTGTCAGCCACCGGTGGCTGACATTGTCACGAATGGGTTAATGAACGCTATTACCATCAGGACCATCAGTATCCCATAGATGGCTTCTGCCGAAAACTTATGTCTAAAAGGTATATTGCTTGAGCTTTTTTGACTCACTTTCTGACACTCAGAGAGCCTCTTAGGAAAAATGATTCGTTACGTGTTTCGTGCATGTGCCCCTATCTCATGCAAAAACCAGATTTTTTTTTCAAAATCCCTGCACGACCTTAAAGACCTCCTGGTGAGGGTGCGCTTAATAATGCCCATCCACCAATGACTTCATCGAAACCTCATCAGCCCCCCCCCCGCCCCTCTCCTTCAGCCATCACGACCGCTGTCTTAACCGAATACGAGTCGAATGCCAAGTAGATTATAGAGCGAACTAGAAAGAACACTCTCGAGAAAAATTTACAAAATTGAATCCCGATAGGCAAAATGCTTTCGAATAATGCGCTGTCACTGGTGGGGTCTGCGAATTTTCCATATCTATTCACTTCAAATAAAGTTTTCTTACCTTTGCAGCGAAGTGTCGAAGTCCATCGATATCTTTGTAATGAACTGTGACATGATCATTACTGCAATCGACTTTCCAGCCTGTTCGCTCCACGTACCCTGAACAGGGACGGTAAGTGTGTCAAAGCGGGACAGTTTTGGGCCAATCTTTTCATAGCAATCTCTTCATAATCGGATTTTCACATGATGCAGGGTTAACCTTCTGTCTTCCAGACTTAGATGGCCGCGTCATATTTGGTGATTTCACTGGCAATTTTCGAATTTAAAATGTTCAACTAAAAATTTGCCAAGCTTACCATTGTATATTCCAAGCCCTGCAGCTTATTACACTCGAGAAAAGAATTGAATGAATGCAGTCAAGGCTTCAGCATTTATAGTGTTCAAATTTTATATATAGGGCATAGACAACTATATTCCATTGCATTCCCAATGTTCGACCTGATTTTCTTATAATTGCACTTTACAATGTTGTTTACTGTGATGCAATTGCTCTGCAAATCATATCAACTCGCATAACGTAGTAAAGTACACGGTCATACAGTTTCCACAAATCGATATATTGATTTT